TTTTTATATGGATTTAGTTTCAGTACATATCTATATATTTATAGCACTTAATATGCTTTAGATTCTCCATACAATATATGATGGAGATAGCGCTCACCACAGAGTAGCCTTTTCTTCTTGCTCCTCTCGGTTTTTACAGCAGCCCCTCGCGAGCTTCTGCAGTGAATCTGACTCATTCGACGTCTATCAGTTCGAATGTTTCAATCTGCGATTATCTACGCCACTGGTGCATCAGCCAGTAAAGGTATACAAATACTGAAAAATTGGATTTACGATTAGTTCGTCTCGCAATGCGTTGCTTTGTTAATTCATACTTCAGTACATATAGTATTTATATCGACTATTCTTGATGCCCTTGAAGTGCTGGGGAAATTCGGCTGTGCTCGAAGTGTTGAGGGAAGTAGTCGTTGAGGCCGGTCATGTACTGGAACCTACTATCGTAAGACACATGTGTCTACTATATATAGGATAATACAATATGTACTGATAATGAGCGTTGTTCATGGGAATTATGGTTCAGAAGTATGTATTCCTTTATCGACCACAATACAGTATTTTCCTTCCGCGCTATTTTTTCTTTTTGCTGTGCTTCTCCTTGGTAGGAGTGCCACCCTGAGCCTTGCAATTCTTGACCGCTTGAGGATACTGCTGCACGAATTCATACACATTGAACTTCCGCAGACATCCGTTGTAATTCATATACCGCACTTTCCCAAAGACAGAGCGCTCCATCCATCCCTGATCGTGTACACCCCCTATACTCCAGATGCACCTGTATATAAGTGTAATTAAACGTATGTTAATTTTTGCCGAACTTCGGCTTGTATATCCGGGTGGATATCAGGAAGTGCAAAAATTGTTTCAAAATTGCGTTGCCATCGTACTGTTGCTTCAGGTTATTATCCTGTGAATTCTTTGGTGGGTTAATCACCGCCTGACGGAACCACATGCCACACTGCAAGACAGCCTGCGAAAAAAGATGCGTTTGGCAAGTATATATTGTCTCGTCCGATACAGTATTGTAGTTGTAGGCCATACAAGTATATACACATACCCTACATAGCCATTTGGATCGTAGCCATCGATTTCGTACTTGTCATTGAGGTACAAAGCCGTTTTCAATGCCGTTTGAGGAGTCTGAGTCCACTCGAGTATCTTTTTGGCCCAGTACATCCGCAGGAAACCATGCATTTTACCTACACAGAAGGTTACGTATCGCATAGTCAATTTTTAATAAAAAGCCAAATGGGTTATGGAGTACAAGGAGAGGTGCCGACCGTGAAATAAAATAAATAGGTGCAGTGCTACTGAACGTTTTGGTTGATTATCGGAGTCTTTGTCCACCCAAGCAAAGTGAAAATCGAGAGTGACACACCTTCTTCGACCATCTGGAGCTGAGCCGCATTCCACAGATCATCATGTGTGTTCCCCTTGGCGAACTCGTCGCTCGTGTAAGTATATCTGCAGCAAGTTCAAAAAAAAAAATTGCATCGAAGAAATAAGGGTAAGGCGGCTATACATATATCAAGTATGTTGAATTTCTGGACATACCCATAGTAGTGTCCGTGCGAAGGGCATACTGGCCACAAAATTCACAATACATGTAAATGTCAATAAATACAGTAAATTTAAACGAGAGATTTGAGAGAAACATTCAATGAAGTAGGCACGCGATCGATACAACGCCGAAATCGGCGGAACCAAATCGCACACTAGAAACCTGCTGCAACCCGCACAATTCAAGAATATCTATCCGAGCCATTGTGCCACCGCGAATACACCAACTTAGATGCAAACTAACACCCACAAACAAATCGATACACAACATACTCTCTCTTATCTTCAGTGTGTTTTTCAAGACTCTCCTGGGCCCATCCCGGCGCCCCTTCTAAGGTGTCGTACGTATCTGGCTTGTAGAAACAGAAGTTGTCGGACAGTTCTCGTCGTACAATTGATTCTTCGATGAACGATTCTCGTCCCTTCTGGACGGAACCTATCGGCAGTTGAAAAGCAAATTGTAAGCTGCTGCAGTATGATATATATCTGCTCATATTAGGATAATAAATCGAGGAATATCGACTGATATGAATTCATAGTAGATAAAGAGGCGGTTCACTATGGTCACAAAAGCGTGAAGTCAGTACAAATTAATGAGGTTCGACATTGGAGATGTACTGGCAGAAACTCTCCGACGCTCAGCAGCATACAAAGCATACCTGAGAATGTTTGTACGACCAGAAACGCACGCTGCGCAGAAAGTTGGCCGAAGTTGAAGAAACACGACAAATCACTGCGGATAAAAAGACGTAGAGCATGTGAAAGGACTATTCATAATAAGCACTTAACGGTCACGGCCAATTCTCGCATCGCTCATTAGTTTGTACACATAGCCATAGAAAAATCATCCGCACGAGTGCTGGAGACATTGCCAAATTGCAGTCGCTCGCGCTGGTATACAAGGTGACGGGAGAGTACACGACAACAAGAAATTGGTCTTCAACACTGTCATGTCTGTGTCTGAGATGATTTTGTGACCTTCGTTTGGTAATATTGTTTGACTGACAAGGCTGATTAAAACAAAAATAAGACGGGAGGATAAAGAATATATTTACCCACCTCGAAGCATGGACATTTGGATCATTCCGATCACGAGCAAATAGCTGCAGTCGTTCGTTCACAAAAGTCTCGAGAGCTTCCATGGCACCTGCCTCCCCTGGGGTACACCATTTTACCTGCAAAGCCGAAGCTAAAGATGAACACTTGCCGAATTTGCTGATATACAAAAGTCCACATATACATTCTACTCGAATGAAACGGAGATTTCTTGGTAGATGAGGAATGGTATCGTATGCTTGGAACATATGATGCTTGCACAGACTGGCGTGGGTTATATATGATCTAACGAAGTAGTTAGGTCGGTCGAGGGACTCAAGTCTTTCAATATAAAAAAAGCTTCCAGTATATACAGGGTATACAACTTTGCTGACAACACAAAAACCTGTTACAAGGCCGTTTGATAACACTTCTTCATCTCCTGACTGTAGCAGTATCAGCAGTTGATGACAACTACGGTGATCTAGAAAAACAATTACTTAAAGCGATCAATGGTAGAAAATACTGTAGAGCTGACTTTGCAACACCAATACATTTCTCAATATAGTTCTCCCGTTAGGTTTGAACGTTTGCAGAAATATGCATAACCAGACCTGATTACATCTGGAAGGCTTGCACTCGTCTATTCATCATAGATTGCTCTCATCTTCTAAAACAATATTAAGTATGTAGGTTTAACGTATAAACAGCCTACTCAAGAAAACAGTCTTGGTTGCGCTGGCTGGCGCAGCTTACCTCGGGAACATCATGATCAGCGTCAACGTTATTCATTATCTCATCCCAGTCCACTTCCTCAGCATCCTCAACATCTCCTTCCTATTCGAGTGTAAGGTTAATAAGTTCTAATTCATATCAGATAAAAATTTGTATTCGACTAATTCTAATCCATAACAATTATTCGTCCCTCCATCGCTATACAATTTTTCATCGACTCATGAGAGATTCAATCTTGTCGTTGAGATACCAGCACATACTAAGCGTCATGAATACAAGCGTACGATGCTGCACTGCATACGAAGACGTTCACATACCCAAGGACAAATGCGAACCGAATTGAATCACTGTACTCTCGCCAATTCACATTATGTCACATGCTGTGTTTGAAATCTGGTACTGCTTCAATTTATGCACTCTATCTTACATTTGAAATGCAACACTATCCATTATCATTTAGGTACTTCTCATGAGCAATGTACCTGTACTTCAACCTCAGGAAACTCTGTACCGAATTCGGCAAGTCTTTTGTGTATTTTGGTTCGTATCGTCCGCGCACCATATTCACATTTCTCGCTGGTCCCCTGCGAGAGTGTATTGCCGAATATCAGACAGTCGTATGTGACAACCATCACTTTCATCAGAAGTGCGTCTAGATCGTGATCACATCGCATTGTTGTATGCTTGTATTCATCAACTATAAACATTCAGAGAGATGGAAAAATGCAATGGACATGACCAAATTAAGACATCCCATCTATCTACACGCCGACACTGACATATAACTTGAATGCACCTATGATACTATACTGTACAACGTAAACATGCCGATTAACGATCTAATCGTCTCAACCTTCCAGGGTGTGATATCGCACTGTGAAGACAACTAATATCCTTATGCACCGATATATAAACATATATATATCTCCTACCTGCATAATAAGCAGGAATCAGCTTATCACAAGTATTAAAATATAGTTGTGCGTATCACATTGTCGTACAGCTGTGATCGTGAAAAACTCTTTGGAAGACAGCGAATAAATCCTTTCTGACAGCAATAGCAAATCAGATCCAAATCTGCGACAGAGATTAAGTTACTACGACTTAATCACCACCAACTTAGCCTCTACCGAATCAAGTTGTGCATACCAAAAAATAAAATGCAATCAAAACTTAACATCCTCACATTCGGACATTAGTTTATATTCAATTTTATGTTTCTGCCAGTCTGTCTCAAAATCGGAGAGCATGTATGTGCGAGACGCACATAGGCAAACCTCACCACATCCACTTTGGAATCGTTAAACGGGCACAACGCTGTGCGTACCCACTTCCATGTTTAATTTCCATACGCATGAAGCAAACACAACAGCCAAGATACATCCAGATTGACCATACAAACATGGCACAACATGCACAATCACCGTAAACAAAGCAAACACATATGCAACATACCTAAATGGGGACGACGTTGTGCGCATTCACTACCCTGATAATTCTTCTCTCGCGCATGCCACAAACTTTATAAATGAATCACATCGAGATTAAACATACCCACACAGCTGCACAGAAATACGCACCAAATACATATGATGCATACCCATACGGGCACGACGCTGTGTGCATCCATTACCATAACAAATTTTCTCTCACGCATACCACAAACCCTATAACTGAATTACATCGAGTTTAAACATACCCACACAGCTGCGCAGAAACGCACATCAAAAACATACAAATCTTCTCTCGCGCATGCCACAAACTTTATAACTGAATCACATCGAGATTAGACATACCCACACAGCTGCACAGAAACACACTCCAAATACATATGATGCGTACCCATACGGGCACGACGCTGTGTGCATCCATTACCATGGCAAATTTCTCTCACGCATACCACAAACCTTATAACTGAATCACATCGAATTTAAACATACCCACACAACTGCGCAGAAACACACACCAAATACATATGAGGCATACCCACACGGGGACGACGTTGTGGGCATCCACTTCCATGACCGGGATGCTGCACACCTTCTCTGCCACCGAATCTCGCCACTTCCTTTTCTGCCGCAGAGCGTGAAAGTCCACTACAACCACGGCAGCATCAAGTTTGTCAATCTATGTTCACGGAGAAACAAATCACAACATGCATGAAGATTAGCTACAGATTCATACATGTGTGCCTTAACATCAAACACTCGCCTTCCTGTAATGCTTGTTTTTACACGCTTGCCACCGTTCAGTGCATTTCTTATTAACCGCTCATATTCACGAGATGCCCGACAATGGGTTCGGCTGTAACTACATAGTCTTCAAAAACATTTGTGTGCCAATCAAATGGTCCTTGATTAGAAAATAAAACTGCTACACGCGACGTACGAAACTAGGAAGGTGTATTCGGGCAACAAATCTAGGAGTGCACACTGATCTTTTCGAACCCTCAAAAAATCTAGAAGCAAATGTCACGCTTTATAAATATGTAAATGTACATTAATCATGTGGATTTGAACAAGGCAATAGCACAAAGGCCTAGGAAAACGCAGTATTAGTAAAGACCCCTGCTGCTGAAACTAGTGGCATTGGAATCATGTTTAAGCACGGAGAGTTGAGATTGTAATGATAAGGTCACCACTGATGCTTTCATTAGTTGCCAAAAAATCGATTCAAACTAACCAAAACTTGAAGAGTCATACCAACAGAGAAGTGCTAAACCGGAGACATTTTTGAGCGCCTGCGTGCATATGGCAAATACAGATACCGACCATCCAGGTCGTTCGAATGCTGGTCCCCTATTCGCATGAGTCTAAAACTACCCTGCGCTCGATTGCGAAGATACAACTCACACTCGTATAAATCTCAGACAAAGCAAAACTTCAGAAGAAGGGATTAGCGTACGCGGTCAAGTTGAAAATACACTTCTCACTGTGCACATACCTGGTCTACTATATTTTTGGCCACATCCCCCACGAGAAAATGGAACGGGATATTCAACCCTTGCAATCTTTTGGAAACTTCTTGCAAACCGCGTAATCTGAATAGTTCCTGGAATTGGAATGAAATAAAATCCAAAAAAGCATACGTTAGCAATAGAGGGTTCGTACGTGAGACGTCACACCGTGTCACATATGAGCAAATGGTTCTATGTAAAACCGCACACATATCGTGGTAGAGGATAGCATATTTATATAATTGACCGAAAACAGTTTCTAAGTTTCTGCAAACGGTTACAAGTGTGACATGCATACAAATACCTGGCGGACGGTGGCTTCTTCGCGGTATCGCTCAGGATATACATACACCACAGAGAGGGTCAGCTTGTTCTTTTGAGCCAATTCTTCTGCGTAGAGCAGCGCCCAATTGTCGTTAACGCGCACATCCCTCTATATGATGAAGTTTTATTTGAAAACAAGTGTTTATAGATGACGATATACATGGACAGAGTAGCACTATATCGAACTTCGACTTTTCAATTAGCTTCCGAACTTGATCTTGCATAAAGAACACCTTAAATGTAGTAAATAGACTAAAGTTTTCACTCGTGCACATGCCAATGAGCACATAAATGAAGACTACACAACACTAAACACGCCCAGGCCGTCTCAACATCCATTTGCAATATAGGGACAGTCGTGATTGTTCCAATATTGAAATTAGTCTTCGGTAGTATTCGCTGAAGTCCCCCAACTTTGTATGAAGCCGTTCACATAACACATTCCATCTTTTCTAATCACAAATCAAGGCACGGAAAGAACATGCATATACATAGAAAAAATATACTACCTGCCGACTGGCGACTATAATCTATACGCTCGCCGCTAATCACGCTAGATTACCCATACTGACTAATTTCATCCGTACTCCTCACCGGTATACGCATACATACTATCGAGATCCCATCAAATTCATACATCAGATAAACTATATCAAATTGATGTTGCCTCAATATCACAGGCGTGTGTTTGATTCAGCAGGTCAAATACCTCCATCCAGTATATAACAGTCTTGTGCCCTTCCTCCACCTCGACTATTTTACCAATGTTCTGTTTCCCATTTAGTCGCCGAACTCGTGCTGAATTGACCTGTGAGTATGAGCGGATGGATTTAGTATGAGCGGATGGATTTGTTATGACTAGTGACACCGTTCGCCTATTTTGCTGTCAGCAATACATTTAAAGCGAGCAAATTTAAAGTGCCCCAAGGTATCATTTGCTCTCAGTATGATTCCACAGTGAACGATAGAATTACACACCAAGCACAGAGATCCTCCCTTGATTCGCTTGAAGGTGCTGTATATACACTCTGCTGGAAACTTGGTGTGCGCACAAAACTGCAACATACTGGGTAGAGCTACAAACCGATTTTTAATCATTATTCACACGTGACAGTCTGGAGCTACAAGATGCCTCCGGAGAAACGAATGCATACATGGATACGCATATAAAGTTGTATATGTATGCACAGGCTCCAGATAACATTTACATTCGTTGTCGTCCTCAGCAAGTCATTAGGTATTACAATGTTTATACTATATGTTTATAACGACTTGTTCCATTTACGTCCTCAAAGCTCGTGATAATAACTAAATTCTATCGTCCATACAGGCATAAACACGGATTTCTTCCCAAAATACACCAGTATTCCAATGAGATACGTTACATATGTTCGAATAGATGTATACGCGTACAAATTCACAGCAACTACCAACAACGAATGAGCACGCACTCGTACACATCACACCTGTTGACTGGGAGCAAAAGAGACAATGTTTAGTGTATCTGATTTCGCTTAGTAATGATTGCAAGCCGTATCGATCATTTCTTAAGTTTTAAATTCTACTTACAACCTATTCGTCAATTGAGTATGGCATAGCCTACGCTAGTTAATGTCCTAAGCTAACTTAATTCTGACGCGCTGGCGTTGAACATAACAGAGATGAGCCCACTTACAGTGCACTCTAACGCTAGCATATGCACCGATGTTAAAACTGAGCCTAAGCGTTATCAACCCTAGCATCAATGCGATTTATCAATATGAGCCTAATATATACTGTTCTTGAAACAAGTCGACAAATCGAGAGAAACTGTGCTCAACGATTAAACCTTTGTTCATCGACCTTACCTTCTCCTCAACGGTGCGTTTTACTGATTTGAGTTTCTTTACTTCTCGAACATCTTCAACAGAATCTCTGCCCGACCTGGCACGCTTTCCCATGGTGCTGTAAAATAGTTGCGAGCTACACACGTTCGATTGAAATTGTGGTAGACTATTTATTCCTAAAGCTCGAGCATAAAAGTCTAGATTGCTAACTTTTTGTTTATGTGCACTGCAGAACTGCCAGGGACACTTGGATTGCTTAACACTTTGACTTCTATAGGTATTGAATCGGGCTGGAAAGCGTGAGATGATAAAATTAAAGCGCATATGTCGGACTGAACACACGACGCGATAATATCAAGTATGATGATTGCAGTCCAACGTGATTATGTATGTAATACTGTAGTATGTGGAGGCGGATGTCAGAATGTGGCTACCTAAAGTAGTAGTAAAACTTTGAAGAAAAGCAAATTTAAAAGTTAAAAAAATACTGATTTTCACCGTACGCCAATCAAATATAAGCTTCTTATTGGATCGTAGCCGTTCGGCGGCGATGAAGATCAAATGATCCTAATGAGTCTTTTTTCTGGAAAATCAATCAAATTTGGCCCGCGCAATTCTTGTTTACCAATTGAAACATCGCTGGTAGTACCACAAGACATGCCTTCGTCATGACTTGATATTTCTGATAATGATGATTTTCTGAACATAAGAAAAGGATGGTCTTTTGAAGGAGAAGAAGAATTGTGTTTTTACTTCCTATTAGTGTAGTAGAGAGTTGAGCGAGAAATTGGCTCGAGCAGATGAAGGCTTAAAGTTGCGAGAAACAGTGAAAGATATATTCACTAAGTTGTTGCGTACAAAGGAGACAATCGTGTAGGCTGTAGGCTGTAGTTCTTACATAGGTTGGTCAATCGCGTCCTTTTTTTATCACTATATAGGCTAGTGCTTACACAAAACATTGATTATGTTGACAAATAGAAGTGTGAATAGTTATAATAGAGAAGTTTTATTTACTTTAAACCGCATACAAGCCGGTATAAAAATAGAAATACCCGGCAGCAATCGGTATTTTTTTCGAAGCATTGCGTTCAGTAGTTCACATCCCATCATTTCGCCACTAGTCCCCACACGATCAAGAATTGAATTGGAACGAGCTCGGATAGACACATACCTATACGATCGTTTTACTGCTGCCTGTGGGCTGCTGACTTTAACAACCAGTTGAAAATAAGTGTACGGCTGATTTCGGCTGGCATAGCCTCAGATACTACTATATGTGCCATCCTACATCGCATTGACATATTACACCCTATAATACAATAACACATACACACTCTAAATCACATTAGCATATAACACACTTGAATCACGCCAATCTATAACGCGCCCTAGTAGATAAAATTAAAATGGTGGAAGGTCCTGGGGCAACCCGAAATGGTACAAAAGCACGGGCATTAGTGGGGTGGATAGAAAAGGAATATGGCACACTTGTAGAGGCGTTCTCGGTGGGAAAGGAAGTATATCTCGTATTTTCTCCACCTTCGGACCCAATAAAAGGCCCTCCGGTTCCAGGAAAGGCTCTGCGGTTGCACTTTGGAATGAGTGGGACTATGTTGATCGGCAAGAAGCGGAATGAAGGGGTGCCAAAGTGGAAGGGAGCCCCGACCATTGTTCTTGAGTTTTCTAGCGTGAATTGTTTCAATAGCAAGAGCATACAATACATGGAGTGCTTTCAAGCAACATTCAGCAAAGTCACGCCATATGTGGCTCGTTCAAAGTATGAGCACTTTCGCGCATTGGATGTATGTTCACCGCACTTCGACAGTGCGTGTGTGTATGACGCATTGCACAAGAGACCTGCAAGTATTCTTGCGGATGCCATTCTCGATCAGCTCTTATTCCCCGGTGTAGGAAATATAATTAAAATCGAAGCTCTACATGAAGCCAGACTCAACCCCAAACGGCTTGTCATGACGTGTACGAAGGAAGAACTGATGTGTTTGATACAGCATTGTCGAGACTATGCCTTGCTGTGGTTGAAACGTGGCCGTGCGCCTTATAAAAATGTGTACAACCAGACCATGTGTGTAACTTGTAAGCTACACACTGTGCAGATCCAGAAGATGGGCAGTGACCTGAGTCGGACCACCTTTTGGTGCACAAATTGCCAACCTATATCTGGTGACAAGCAAAGTGCTACCATAGCAGAGACACAAGCCCCAGAACCATCGACCCAAGGAACCCCCCAAAATTCGCCATTGCCCACGCAACAGTCACAGTGCTCTCAACATGGCACGAGCAAACTCAAGCTCAAGCGTGTGCGTAAACCCAACGCCAACCAAGGACGACTATTTCTCACTTGCCAAGTGAAGTGCAAGCTCTTCGCGTGGGCGGATGAGCATCTGCACCGCTGTTGTAAGAGTCCGTGTACGCTCAAGATGAGCAAGACTAGCAAGACCGGTGGCCAGTGGTTCCTGTGCTGCAAGGGCTGTCAGTATTTTGCCTGGGCGAAGGAGGTAGACTTGCAACCATTTGGACCGCGGTTAACCCCATTACTATGAGAAATAAACGTTTATATAGGTATACATTGGGCCCTTTTCCATAATTTTCATATATACTACTTTTGGCGATCACTGCCCGATCGTTTGTGCGTTGAGTGTGCTTCAACGATTCAT